ATTTGATTTATAGTATGTTGTATTTGCATATTTACCATTTAAACTTGTGAAATTAGGTGGCCCAACTTGCGCGATCATCGCGTACAAATGTCCACATATTCAGGTCACTATCGTTGACATGAATCAAACTCGTATTAATGCCTGGAACTCGGACAATCTGCCCATTTACGAACCGGGACTTGACAAAGTAGTATTCGAGCGTCGTGGCAAAAATTTATTCTTTACGACTGAAGTTGAAAACGCAATTATCGAAGCAGATCTTATATTCGTATCTGTAAATACACCGACGAAAAAAGCTGGAATGGGTGCTGGTTATGCTGCAGATTTGGCGTAAATATAATCATGATCTGACGTCACCGTGAATAAACTGATGATTTTATACCACTAATTGCATATTATGTATCATCAGATATATTGAATCAGCTACTCGCCAAATCGCTGAAGTCGCGAGAAGTTCAAAGATCGTCGTCGAAAAATCCACAGTACCATGCCGTACCGCAGAAAGCATGCGTACAATCTTGGAAGCTAATTCTCACGATGATATTCGATTTGATATTCTTTCTAATCCGGAATTTCTTGCTGAAGGTACCGCAATCAACGATCTTCTGTATCCGGATCGGGTGCTAATTGGTGGATTACAAACTCCTGAGGGTTTTAAAGCACAACAAACCTTAGCTGAAATATATGAGCAATGGGTCCCTAAAGATAAAATTATTACCACTAACCTATGGTCATCAGAACTTTCTAAATTGGTAAGGTTTTAATAAAATTCATATTTATGTCATGAGTTTCTAACATTAAACCTTTGACAAATTGGGATCAAATATAGGCCGCTAATGCTTTGTTAGCACAACGTATTTCATCGATAAATGCCTTATCAGCTATTTGCGAAGCCACGGGTGCTGATATTGACGAAGTTGCTTACGCATGTGGACGTGATTCACGTATCGGACCAAGATTTTTGAAAGCGTCAGTTGGATTTGGAGGAAGTTGTTTTCAAAAGGACATTTTAAATTTGGTATACTTAGCGGAACAACTTAATTTACCTGAAGTAGCCGCATACTGGAAACAAGTAGTTGACTTAAATGAATATCAGAAAAAACGGTTTGTTTCTCGTATAATCAAAACTTTATTCAATACCATTACAAATAAAAGGATTGCCGTGTTGGGATTCGCTTTCAAAAAAGATACTGGTGATACTCGTGAATCAGCCGCAATTACATTGTGCAAAGATTTCATTCAAGAGAATGCACGTGTCTATATTTATGATCCGAAAGTTAGCGAACAACAAATTTTTTTAGATTTAAGCGAACCAGGGGTTACTGATATCAAAGATTGTAAGATCATGATAAAATTATCAATCTGTTTTTTTT